CTTAAATTACAGGCAATGAAGTGGAGTATATTAAAAAAAACTATATGATTTAGAATTTAGAAACATCTTGCTGAAAATAAAGCCTGAGTTTCTGCTTTCTATACAACGATGTACTACAACACTGGTGGGATTAATTTTTTTAATTAAAATTAAAGAACAAGTGGAGTGTACTGAAAAAAAAGTTCTTTCTGACTCTGTGCCTGTGCTAGTAGAGGGTGAGAGAAGGAAAAGTTACCTAATTCCTTAGGACATGTAACTGAGCCTTTCCCTGCTCAGGGGTACCTGGATGCTGAGGATCCCAGTTTCCTCAGAGTATGTCAGTGTCCAACCAAATTCCATCGCTGTGCAGTAATGAATGGACAGGTTTTCAGCCTCTAGTATGAGATCACAGGTTTCTCCTAACTTAAAAATTGCTATAAATTACCCACGAGCACCACGGCTGTTTGTTTTTTCAGCCGATGTGTTCATCCCTAAAGAATGTCTAAGAGCTATAAATAAACCTTAACTACCTCATGATTGAACTGGTGGAACCAGAGCCAGCAGTCAGAAGCCAAATGCTTTCACTATACACCATAAGTATTCTTCTCAGTAAAATAAACTCCACATACTTCAGGACTTAAGGCACAGAGGCTCAAAAGATCCAACATGAGGACAGCCTGCTTTGGTAAATAATCACATTTCAGGAAAATGCAGGATAAATTCCATGATGGGCAAAAGTATGTTGACTTTGACAGACATTTTGTGTAAGCAGAGGAGTTACACCACTGAGTGTCAGGGATCTAGACTTGAATTTCCTCGGGGGATGGAGCCACTGTCATTTTTGGCCTTTGCTGTCCCACCACAAGATGTGAGCACTCCTTGCATTCCCAGAGCCCACTGGGGTAGCAGCTTGTGGCAGCAGTTATTGAACGGGTTTAGCTGAGCTTGGAAAAGCCACAAATCTCATCTGTTTGAGGTCAGAGGAGCTGATTTGGACAATTTCACAGTGCCCACTTCAGGAGTTTATTCTGCCTTTTCAAAGGCCCAACAAATGAAAGAAACAAATTTCAATTCCCATCAAGTGCAAGGAACAAAAATAATTCCTGCTCAGAAACTCAGTGTTTCAGGATGTTTTATCTAGGAGTATATATTAGCAATTTAAAGAATCCAAGATCCCAACTTAGAACTTTACTCCCATTTATCAGTGAATTACTTCACTGGGAGCTCTACTGACCCTGAAGAAAGCAGGGCCTGAACTGAAGAGTTTAGATCCTGAATTTAAATCAGCAGCAGAACAGAGGCAGCCAGGGAAGGAGAGATATAAGTTATTTACATAGATCAGCTCTAGAATGATTAGCAAAAACCTAAAAGCAGAAATATTTTGCACTCCATGGAAATAAGGGACAAAGCCAGGCCCAACTGAAAGCAGAATCTACCTTTGTTTAGCATTTTGAGATCTTACTGTGAGATCTAGATCTACAATATGGAGTATTTTCTTCAGAAGAAATGAGAATCAGCATCCACAATCAGTATTAAAAAATCCCTATAGATAAAACTCAAACTCCCTCTACCCCCTCAAGAGGTTTTTTTTTAAAGACAGATATAACCATGTTATTATTACCTTCAAAAGCTGAGTCACATTATGTGAACAGTTGTGGCCTGCAGCAGACTTCTAAAGAAGGGACATCCCTCCCAGCAGAGCTCTGAGATGGGATTTGATGGCTTCTATTGGTTACTTTTTTTGAGATAAGTGAATACAGGATGATGTCCAATTTTATAATTTCATAGCTTCTCATATAATTTTTAGGTAGAATAGCTCTAATTGATTTAGAACTGTATATTGTTTTTATTTAATTTTCCATTGCTTTTAAGGGGATCACATAAATATGATTATTTCCCTAAAAATTAAAAAAAGTCCATCGTGGAAAGAAGTGTGGCATTGTCACAGCTGCTACATTCACTCAGAAAGTATAACTATAACTGATACATTTTTAAGAAGAATTTTTAATTTCTTAGGCAAGCGTTTTTCCTTTTGCTTTAAAAAGGCTAATTGTGAAACATTTTTATCAGCTGGGCAATTTTTCTTTTAGGTAGAAAATCCTTGCCTCTGAGGGTGCTGAGGTCCTGGCACAGGGTGCCCAGAGAAGCTGTGGCTGCCCCTGGATCCCTGGAAGTGTCCAAGGCCAGGCTGGACAGGGCTTGGAGCAACCTGGAACAGTGGAAGGTGTCCCTGTCCATGGCAGGGGTGGGATGGGATGATCCTTAAGGTCCTTTCCAACCCAGTTCCTTCTGGGATTCTCTGAAACAGCCTGAACCACAGCCTGGTAACCACTAGGTCATAACCCAAGTGTTGCACACAGCAAGTGAAGCTTTACAAACACACAGCCAAACAGAGAGCACACATATAACCCCAAAATTACAAGGGCTGCAGTTTTCCATGGAAATACACCATGTACCAAGATAAGCTGAGACTTCTGTTTTCTTGTAAAAAATGTGTTGGAAACAGCTTTTTTATTTGGACTGACCGTCATGGAAAAAGGATCCAACTGAGGTGTTGCAGTTTGAATTTTGTTGTGTTTCTTTTTTTGGCTTTCTAGAAGGAGGGAACAGGTTTAAATAAACATTTTGATTTGGGTTCTGCAGGGTCTTAGAAAGCTGCACTGTGTGGACACTGACGTATTTGGACTTTACGTAAAGATACTTTGCCATTTTTGAAGCCAGATCTAACCTTTGTATCAACAAATCATATACAAAAACTTCAGTCTGAGCCTCAAGGTAAGAAAACATCTACTTAAAGGGATTCTTTGTATTTGATTTAAAAAATACTCTCATTTACAAGCAGATTTTGAATGCCTGCCACCAACTTTGAAAATAACCTTTCCATTTATTTTGAATGTTCTTCAAGATGGGTCTCTTCGAGCAATTTATAATGATCATACAGTATATAAAAGAATGGACAATCACGTGTATTATAAGGTCTGAGTAAAATCCACAAGAGGATTTACAGTTAAGGGTGGACTTAATCTCTTTCTGAACGACTTCAGGGCAGTTAGACTGTATTTTGCATAAAAATCAAATTTACAGCTCATGCTAATGAGCTAAACAAGTGAATAGAATGTATTCAGTCACATGAGTTTATTTCAAGCTGATTTTTTGATGCATATCAAGGGATTACTATGGAAAGATTGATGAGGAAGTGATTGTCACCCACAGCTGAGGCCACACCTGGAGTGCTGTGTCTAGTTTTGGGCACTAACAGCAAGAAGGACATGGAGGGGCTGGAGTGTGTCCAGGGAAGGGAACGGAGCTGGGAAGGGGCTGGAGCTCCAGGAGCGGCTGAGGGAGCTGGGAAAGGGGCTCAGCCTGGAGAAAAGGAGGCTCAGGGGGAACCTTGTGGCTCTGCACAACTCCCTGACAGGAGGGGACAGCCAGAGGGGTATGGCTCTGCTCCCAGGGACCAGGGACAAGAGGAGAGGGAACAGCATCAGGCTGGGCCACGGGAGCTCAGGTTGGGAACCAGCAGGAATCTCCCCATGGAAAGGGTGCTCAGGCCTTGGAACTGCCCAGGGAGGTTTGGAGTCCCCATCCCTGGAGGTTTCCGAGGAAAGCCTCGAGGTGGCACTCAGTGCTCTGGGCTGGGGACAAGGTGGTGACTGGTCAAAGGTCTCTGCAAATATATTTTGGGAATATAAGCAATCCTTTCAAGATCAAAGTAACAGATCTGCTCTATCAAACCTAATGTGAAAGTGTATCCTTGGTATTTTGTTGTTCAATATTTTCAAATGACTCAAAATCACAAAGGTTGATGAATAAAGTAGCATTAACAACACAGCATCTGTATTCTGGCCCTGAGATCAGTGGATTTTAAAGAGACACATGACATCAGCAAAGGTCTGATATTTACAGCTGCTTTTCTCACTTGTGCTGTGCACTGCTTTACCTGGAAAACCTGGACTTGGAAAAAGCTGCAGGAAGGCAAGAATAAAAGAACACACATCTGAAGAAATGCTCCCAAAGCTGGGAACATACATATGTTAATATTCCCTTTGCCTAACGTCAGATGTGGTTTCACAGCTTCAATTCTGGATCCCATTTGTCTGTGGAAAAAATGGATGATTTCATTATTCCCAGATTTATATAACTTCTATCACCCCAAGGCAGTGGCAAGTCTGCATTTGAGACACTTGTCATCAGCTATCAATTATTCTACAATTTATGAGATGATTTTCTGTGGATAGAAAAGTCCATGGAAAAAAACCTCCCATTCAATTTATAAAGCTTCTCTTGATCAGACTCTTGTCCAGGATATTCTGTAATAAGAAGTGGGCAAAATCTCACACTTGCTGAAAAAAGAAAAAAAATCTTCCCTGTGAGGGTGGGAAGGCCCTGGCACAGGGTGCCCAGAGGAGCTGTGGCTGCCCCTGGATCCCTGGCAGTGCCCAAGGCCAGGCTGGATGGAGCCTGGAGCAACCTGGGACAGTGGAAGGTGTCCAGCACATGGCACAGGTGGCACTGAATGGGCTTTAAGGTCCCTCCCAACCCAAACCATTCTATGATTCCATGAAGTTTTACGAAGGTGAGATTAAGAGTAGAGAGATTTCACACTTAAAGACCCCCAAAATCTTTACCATTGTCACTATTGTCAGATTAGTACTACTAGTAGCACTAGTCGTAGTAGTAGTAGTAGTAAAAAAACTTCTTCTAAATCAATGGAAAATAATTTGTAATGATATCTCATCCATGGAAGCTGAAAAACCTTGGAAGTTATGCTTTAAAGCTATGCTAGGTCAAATAAGTGATTTCATGAAAACTGAAAGCTTGGAAATAAGTTCTGTTTTGTCTAAGTGTTACAGATGAATATAAAATATAGAAAATCCATGTCATTATTAAATCAAAATATTTTAATGAGTTTTACTTCCCTAAAAAAAAAGTGCCTGAGATTTGTTAATATGCAGTCCTTTCCACCAAAGAAAGTCTTGACTGACCAAAATATTCCTGAGAACCACAAACCCTGGGGAAAACCTGGGATTAGCACAGTTGGGTAGAGCATGGTGTTAATAACACCAAGGTTGCGGGTTCCATCCTCTTACAGGACATCCTTTAAAAAGTTGCATTTGATAATCCTTGTGGGTCCTTTGCCATTCAGAATATTCTGTGAAATCTGTGGAAAATTTATCGAGGAGAATACCTCGACTTTTTAAGTAAAAGTTAATTTTCACAGTAAAGCCTGGACACATCAGAACAAGAGCAAAGATTTGTCACATAGGAAATATTACTGGAGTGTCTCACAGAGAGTCTACACTGGATTCCTGATTTCCCACTGGTTTTAGGGTTGGCATTCTGCAGCAGAGAAGTTTGCATTCCAGCTGAATCCTTAGAAAACAGTTCCTAGAAAAGGTGACCTAAAGTGCCATGCAGCCATTTAAAGGAATCACAAGAAACTCTGGTAGCAAACACCAGCAAAACTGGAATGGTGATGGTCATTGAACAGTCACTGTGGACTTCTGTAATTTCATAATTTGAGGGTTAAACTTGTGTAACAATTAACTTTTTTCCTTGTATTATACTAATTAAGCAGTTGAATCTCACTCTGCCTTAGTGCTGATAGCACAGCTACTGAAGATGATGTACATGGTAATCAACTCGAGTGGATTTTGGATCAAATGTGCTTCCCACATTCAGGTTTTCTGGCCTTAATTCCATTTTTTACAGGGTAAACAGCCTGAAGACTGTATTTCCCAGATATTTCTAAAACCACTGGGAGCATTAATGTTTTGAGAACTAATATATTCTTTATGTTTTAAACTGAATTTGGCAGTGACTTCTGAACTGTGTCTAAGAGCACTCTGGTCTTATAAGAGCTGAGTGTCTCTAATGAGCTGGATATTCCCTGGTTTTAGTACTTCCAATGAGCCAAATCCTCAATTTACTACAAAAATCTATTAAGGCACAAATTTATAAATACTGGTGAAGGCAATTTTCACCTTGTTCTACTCACCACAGTTACACAGAATTTCTTAAATTCAGAGGTACTTGGGTGAGAGGAGAATTTGAAGACTGACTGAATTAATGCCATTTTATACAGGCAGTCTATCCATCTATTCTGAGTGCAGGTTTAGTTTTTTTCTCTGTAGTTTTGCACAGTGACAGGTCACCTGTAATTACAAGTTCTCATAAAAACTACCAGGAATCTCAAGGCAGTTATCTTGTCACTGGTGCAAAAAAAAACACCCCAAAACACACTTGTCTTTTTTAGTCAATCCTCATAACACTCCTAAAGAAAGTGAGGACATAATACCCTTTTTTTCTCAAGAAATCTTGCTTTTACATGAACTTCCCTGATCAGGAGAAATTCTGTTCTGTGCCACCCCTCACTTGTGCACCCCAAGGGTGGCTCCCCACCTTGGCTTTCCCAAGCCTTGTTGAGCTTTCTAACTGTGATTCCAAACCCATCCTGCTCTCCACCAATTTACAGTAAATCTTTGCATAATGTGACCTTTTCCCAGTAAACTTGATGACAAACATGGTGTTATTTACACCCTGATCATTTTGGGCAGTGTTCCTTTAGACTGAAGCCATTTTCCTCCATAAGTGAGATGTCACTGCATGAAACCACAGTGACATCAATCATTTGCAAGGCAAATGATGTGGACAGGCCAGAGCATTCCAAGTCCTCTCTCAGAAAAAATGGATTTTCTTCTCCTTTTCTCCTTTCTGTTATATGGCAAACACCACCACAGAGGGGTGGAAACTTGTGCTTCAAACCCATACAGGAAAAAAAAAAGCCAAAAAAGAAAATCACTATCAATTTAGAAAATGAGACCTGAAGTTCTCTTATATCATTATGATTTCTGTTGTTGGCAATCAGCCTGTGAGTGGTTAATAAAAAGCAGCTCTTTTTTTTTTTTTTTTTTTGGCAGCCTTGTTTAGTGCTCTGTTTATGCCCTGATATGACAGTTCATAGAGTACAAGTTAAGGAAATAAATTGAAAATACAGCTGTGGATTTCCTCAGTAATCCACCTTTCAGCAGAGCAGGAGTCCAGACCTTTAGCAGATACTAACAGCAGCAAGTGGCTGCACAAATTGGTGACAGGCTATCATATACTCTCAAGACCTAAACATTGTCTAGGGGCTCCTTTTTGCATTTTAAAAGAATCCTTGAGCTCAGAACACAGCAACCCATAAAATTTAAAAAAAATAAAAAAAGAAAGGGATGCATGAATTGCAAACAGAACACAATTTTTAGTGAAAAAACCCAGGCAAATTCCATCTTCTACCTCATTTTTCAGTCAATAAGCTAATGTTTAAAGGGTGAGCAAGGAGCAGTGAAGATCCATCACACACATGACTTAATGCTCCAACCCCAAATAAACACCCTGCACTCAGCCTGGGACCATCTGTGCGGGCTCAGAATGCACTAGTGGGTTTGGGGTTTTTAGGCAGGGTTTCTGAGAGTGAGCAGAAGCAGTTCAGAGAGCTCTGCTTCTTCATCTGAGAAAGGCAAAAATTCCTGCCATTGTCACAGAAGATGTGCTGTGAGAGAATATCAGTAAGAAATATCCAATTTCTTGGCATCTCTTTTGATGGGTTTGCTTTGGCAGGGGAGGATGGCACTCAAGGAACTTTAATCCCTTTGAAGAAAAATACCTTTTTAGAATAAACAGAGCTGGTTGCAACACTTGCCCAGATGAGTTTGCAAGGTTAATACTGCTCCATACATGTTTAAAGTTTCATATTTCCAGACTACAAAGCAGCATGGGAGCATGACTAAGTGGTATCACCCTATTTTACTAATAAAGATAAAACTTCACAGTGATTACTGGCACAAAACTAACAGAAACTCTTTAGCAATCTTTATTTTTTTTTTTTATGAGGAAGTGTGTGATGATCAAAAGATGCCGCAGTATTAGTGAAGAAGGATGAAGGAATGGACCAAGATTTTTATTTTTATTATTATTTTTACTCTGGTTTAAATATGCTGATCTGAGTTATGCCCTGAATAAATAAACTGTATTGGAAGGCACCTCTCCCTGAGCCTGGGTTGGGATCAGCACCTACAATGTGGGACAGGATTTCAGCTCCAACAGTGAGACAACTGCTGATATTTTTTAGGGGAAGGGAGCAATTCTCAACCTTAAACCCTACCTACTTTTTCCTAACACTGATTTTGATGAGCATCAGCCACAATGAACTAGAAAGCAAACTTGCCTTCGGGGTGTTCTATTAGTTCCATTCAGCAATTAATAATTTCCATATCTCCATGGAGAATTTTAGTACGGGTGGTTTCTCCCAGCTCCATCTTTGTGGGAAAAGTGGGGGAGACTTGGACTAGTTCATTTATTAAATTAATGGCAATGCTTTCTGAATAGATTCTCATAAAGAAGTTGTGAGTTGAAGCTGATTAATCTCATTTTAGTTGATAAGAATAAAGAGGACTCAGGTTTACTGGCTTAAAGGGAAAAAATCTAGTGGATTCTCAGTTTTACAACAGTACAGAAGTACAACAATACCTAGAGGATATTTAAAATAATATAGGCTTTTATGCTTTTGAAAGAAGAAAGAACACATGCAATGAGCTGTTCAGGCCACAGTCTAGTTTCATGAGATCCCTGCTATAGAATCAAAAGCTATTCAAATATATTTAATTTTAAATGCAGCAAGGTAACTGCTAATCTCCGCTGAAAAGGGCACTTTGATTGAGATAGTATGGATTGCTGTTAAATCTGGAAACATGCAGACGTTTTATTCAGCCTTTAAATGAGCATGAACGACTGCCCAGAGGAGTTAATGTACAAAGACGAGAGTCAGAAATGAGAAGCATCAGCTAAAATGTGAATTTAAGGTATTCTGTGAACCCCCACACAGCTGACCAGCTCTGGCTGTGATCTTGCATTCTCCTTTTATTATTTTCCAGCCTGATGAGTTGATCATAAGTGCACTCCAAGACAAAAAAACCCCACTTTTCAACAGGACATCATTAATTTATTTCCTGATGGCTCCTGTGTGGTTCCCACATAACTCTGAGCACCTCTCCTCTGTGACATGCTCAGTTACACTGCACTGAGGCCAGACTGATGATATTGTTCTGTAGTTTGGTTATTTGATTGGTTTTCTCCCATAAATGACCTTTTCAATAAATTTAACATGTTCTGAAGTCACTCTGGAGTTCAGGTACCTGAATGCCACCTGTATCACCACAAAGAATTCAGTGGCTCAGCTTCCCATGAAACCAACAGGAGCAGCCTGAGGGTGGATACCCTGAGGGTGGATACATTTGTTTGAATAACAAAGGAAGTAAGTGGGTTTAGCATCTTAATGCCAAACACTGAATGGAATGCTTCAATTACTTGCCACTGAGAAAATTGGAGCTACAACTGACATGTTAAATTTACCTAATGTGACCAGACTTCCTACCCAGGACTTGGAGAAATTCAGTGAAAACCTTTCCCATTGTCTCTCCACCTGCAGGACTGACAAAAGAGTCCAGATGAGCACTGTCTCCCTTCGGATGTCTGCCAAATACCTCCTCAGAGAGAAGCAGCGGCCCCATTCACCACTGCTGGTGATAGGGCTGTGGAAACAGTTCCAAGAGCCCAATTTCAGGTGGCATGGCAAGGCTAAATTTACCAAATCAGGCTTTAAACAGATATTACCCACATTACACATAAACTGACCTGGGCGACTTGCAGGCATAACATCCTTTTTCCAGGAACAATCATAGAACCCATAATGAAAGGGCCATTCTGTAATTGTAAAAAAGGCCCACTATTCTACAAAGAAAAGAATAAGAGGATTAAGAAGTTTTAAAAAAAAAAAAAAAAAGCCCAAGAAAATAACCCTTCTGTGTGGACCTGCTTGCCTGGGTGTTGTGATCTGCAGCTCATTCAGAGGATTTGCCCTCAGAGACAAGCCTGTATTACTGGCCAAATATTCGCCTGAAGAGGGTTATTTCAGCTGAAATAAATAATTGTATACATTGGGAAAAAATGGGCTTCAGTTAAACCCTTATAATGAAAAATACTCTAGCAATTTATACTGAGATACAAATAATAATTTGCATCTCATTCTTGACATATTTAATAGCACATTTCAG